TAAAAACAGGCAGAACTTTGATCACACTCTTGTGCTGCCATGTTGACTTTTTTTTATCATACCCTGTTGACACTCCAGATAGATGGGGGAGAGAGAGAGAGAGATAATTTTTTTGCCTAAGTATCTTATGCTACAATGATAGGGTTCATATAGCTCATTGTATCATAATGTGGGTTTTTTTATGATGATTAACTCAATAACTGAGTTCACATATTTCACTATGTTATGCTTTGCTTAACTGTGATTTGTTGAACAGAGCATAATTGGCTGGGCTTACAGAACACACAAACCATAAATCACAATGTACAGACTATAGTGGTGAGGTTCACAGAATTCCTAAAATCACAAGAAAGTCATCACATTTTAGCTTAGCTTGATCTGTGTATCCAGCTAATATAAGGCAAAGGTCTTGCACTGGGAAGTTAAACAAAAACAAAAATTCAATAGCTTATTTGCTTGCAGCAATAGGGTTAATGCTTTTTTTCCCTGGGGTTTTTTTTTTTCTGCATATTTTGGGAGGGAAAAAAGAAAATAACATATGGTCTTCATCATTTTCTTTCCTCTAGTGTATTAGACAAACCAAACATGTCTTATTAGTTTATGGTCCAGTATATTGTGGTATATTTAAACAATTGGGTTGAGCACATTGTTATCTGTTTATTCAATAATGACTCAGCTGCAGTTTCAGGTGGTGCCAATACCAGTTTTTCTCTTGATGCAAACAGGAATTTTTGAAGAGTGTATCCTTTTTAACCCTTACCTTTGTAGCCAGTTGCTCTTGTCAAGTATATTGACAAAGGTAGCCTTCTTTTCTGTGACTAAATGCAATCCTATACAGCCAGGCTTCATTGGCATTTGATTAATCTGAAAGCTGAAAAAGGTCAGTATGCAGTGTTCAGAAATTAGGAGTAGATTCTACATTACAAGTTAATTATGAGGGGGACCCTGGTCTGGAAAGCTGTATTTATTTGCATATGTATACACCATTGCAACCATATTCAGCAGCTGTGTACATGCAAGAGAAAGACTTACTGGCCATACTTTTTTTTAACAGAGTGAGCACTGATCTCTCTCTCTCTCTCTCTCTCTGCCTCACACACATACAAAGTTTTGGCATGAAATGCATTTAATGCTTGGCCAACAGACAGAACATAGTCTAGCCAGAGTCTTTCGTACTATGCATCCTAGATGAATTATAAGGCCTTTCTCCACTTCTGAGTTGAAATGCTTATCCATCCATCCATCCTTAAGTCAGCAGAAAAGAGTACTTGCATGAAAACTGCTGCTCCCGTTGGCAATCTCGGTCCTTCCCTTATGGCCTCTGTTCTAGGGCACTGCTGAAAGGTCTGCCCTGATCATGTCTGGGTGCACCCTGTAAGAAGCCAGAGGGAAAAATATCTGCCAATCATGAGCAAGAATGGAGTAGGCCTGCCCTTCTCCTAATCCCATTCTGTCACAACCCAAATTGAGTATGTTTTAAAAATTGAATAAAGTTCTTTAAGAAGTGAACAGATAAAGTCATGATGGGAGTTGAATCACAAGCAGCCCTATTTCCTAGGGTTTTGTTTTGTTTACCCTTCCTCTCTTTATAGAGGCAACACATGTGGAATGCAGACAGAGGGGTTAGTCCCATTCATGATTTTGCTATTTCAGCCTTGTGTCAGTCTGGTAAGGACCACAGAAGTATGACACTTACAGTACTAGTAGCTGACAGGCCACTTTTGAAATTACCAGCCCTAAAATGCTTCCAACATTCTCCAAAGGATGTAAAATGGCCACATCCATGTATCATATTATGCTATCTGATAGACATGTATTTATGGCTGGGAACCAGTTGCATGCAGCTAGAGCAGAGTTTCCATGGGAATGCAAAGTGATCCCTTGATAAAATAAATTCTACTGCTGTTACACAAATCCAAAGGACCTCCATTATTGCCCAGATATATTGAACATAAAAAATCAGGTAGGAAGTGGCATTACATCCACTGCTCCCACCTCCAACCTTTGCTAATGCAGCACAGGTGTATTAATTTATCCATCTCACTCGCTTGATTTGAAGGTTCTGAGATTAAAAAAAATAATCTGGTATAAGAAATAATACCTAAGGAGCGTAAAACACAGCAAGGTGCCTATCACCCAAGGTGATTGACTATATCATATAAAAATGTTATTCATGAATACCAGTCATCAATTCTTATTTTTTATATTTCCCACCTGATATTCTTTCCAACCAAACGTAATAATAAAATTGAAACCAATTTACAATGAAATACTTACGCTAGCACTTAAGCCACTCCAGAAAATGTGGCAATGTTGGCAAAGAGAAATGGCATCTTACTGAACACTTTACCTCTAGAAAGGAATAAAAAGATGTTGACTTGTTACATGGTTCCAAGGATGCTTTTACTAATAAGTATTTCCTATTGATTTCAACAGCCAAATACTTTGCTGTTTGCAAGTGAAGTTATCTTTTCAAACGGGCAGTAACGTAAGCAAATGTCTATGAATGACCACATGATGGTGCTGTTCTCCTAAGAATATATTGTAAAATGGGCGATCTCAAGTTTACAGAGGACATGTCCATAAGAGCTCTCTGTGGCAGTTTAAAACCAGCTCTGGGTCTGTGTAATTGCACAATGGCCACTGGTTTTGAGAAATTAGTCAAGTTTGTTTGCTTGAGACTGGGTAAGGCTGAGCCTTCTTTGTTTTGCAATGCTGTTCCTTCAAATGAGAAATAAGCAGGCCATTTCTCATTAGCTTCAGCCACCCTAAACATTTTTTCAAGTTGTTTTGATAACTTTGCAGGTCTACTTCATGTTCAGATGTCTCATTTCATTTTTTAAAAATTTTTAATGGCCAGAGAAATGCACATAAACTAAAAGTCATGGATGATATGCATGTATGTTTGTAAGAAATTAATGTATTTCTCTTTTGTGCACCATGGATGTGAATGAATGTTTGCTTCTGCAATACTTTCCACAGTTCATTTTTGTTCTCAGCACTACATAGTCAGCTTCTGAGGAATTGAGGAAAGGAAAACCGAGTCAGTGTAAATGTATTCTGATGGTAACAAGTCCATCAGGCACAATCATCTTTTCAGATAAATATCAAATGAACCCTGGCAATCATTGGGCTGATGGATGTCACAGCCAGATTGTCCTCACATCCATTCAGATAAATATATTTCTTTTGAATCTTCCTGAAATGTTTTAAATGAAATATTCAGCTTATGGATATTCAACTTAAAGTTGGGTGGCCACATAAATTGATAAAATACAGTACAGTCTTGATTAATTTATGCATGTCACATTCCAATTAGGCTGCCCACCTCAAGAATAAAATAGTGCTTGAGAACAAATAGCTATTTTTGAACTGGCCCAGTCTTCCTAATGTGGAAAGGGACATCCAAGAGCCAATATGATTAAGGCAAAGACCTATTGGCCTATTTCTTCCTTCAGTGCCAAGTTGAGATTATCAACAGTCATGCCCCAAAGGTAATTTTCTATCAGTGTTCTTTGTCAACTCAATACTAGAGGCCCATGTTAAATAAGAGAATACAAAAATGTTTCTGTGTTATCACGGAAAACAGCATAGTGGAAACGTGACTCAAGCAAAGAACTCCCCCAGCTAAAATACTGGAGAACAGAAAAATCCAGTAATCTCAAAGTCAGATTATGGAACTGAAGACATTGGCCAACCCTGCTTCAGAAAAATCCTTAATAATATATCAGTAATTCATTAAAACGGGATAGAACCATGGGGCAGCTGAATGAAACTCTTCATTGGAGTGGTCTACAAGGAGTATCCCTTTGTGGTTACCGGGTTAGTACTTATGAACAAAATACAATATTTTGCTATATCACTCAAGAATGGAATATGCTGCAACACTAAGCAGCAGGTACAAGCTGTGATGATTTACTGAGTTGAATCAGTCTGTATGAGATTATCTGGAGCAGAGCATATGCTACATTTATTTCTCAGGCCCTGCTCCTGCAGGTTAATTAGGATCAGAACATATGTGTGTGATGGTTTGCTTAAAATGTGTTTCCTTAAAATGTGTCATAAAATGTGTTTCCTGTTTTTCATTATAACCAACGGATACTAAGTGGAATGGTGTAAGAACTGAAGCTGGCAAGACTTCATTGATTCTGAGGTCTGACAGAACTGTTACATAAAACTTAAGTAGTTGTCTCTAACTTTTAAAGCCAGAAAAAGAATGGCCAGTCTGTTGACTCAAAAAGGCAGGATGGAAAGGTATAGAATTTAAATGCTTGAGACATTTATATATACAGTAGGTTTTCATTTCTGTGCTCATTAGTAGGCAGATCTTCTGCACATATATAACATTTTTGTCTACAATAAAGCAATTTATCTAGCCATGTTGAATCTTTGAAACTTCCACCATAGGACTGAATGGTTGAGCACCTGATGTGTAAACATGTATTGCCTTGCTTGATGGGAAGCCTTGCAAATGGCAGCCCAGCAAACCTTCAATTTACTGGACCTAGGTTTAGCAGTCTTCAGTTGCAAAAGACAAAATCCACTACATTTTGTATGTGGAAAATTCCCTTCTCATATGAAAAATATGCATGTGCAAAAGCCCATTAGGATGCAATAGGTGTTTAGGTCTAATAGGCATCCATTATCCTCATTAGTTCACTAAGTAAAAGATATACTGTATTGAGGCTTTCAAGATATATTCATATTTTATCTAGTATTTTCACATCATGATAAATCATAATATATTGTTTGGTTTTGGCTTAGTGCAATGTATAATTTGTATATTATGATTTATGGATTACTGTAGTGTGTTGGCAACAAAATCTTCTCACTTGTCCATCAAATCACAATTAAAGTAAGCCTTGGTCTATTGTGATACATGAACCCAGCCACTAGGTCAATTATGCTGAATAATTAATGCAATCCCATTTACCATGAACAGGACGCAGCCATACAAGCACAAGAAAAAAGCACTCCTGTGACTGAGAGCAAGCCTTGTTTATTAGTCTATATCTAAAATGTTACTGTATAGTCTAAGCTTACCCCAAGCTGATGACTTTCCATTATGATGAACTAACACTTCTGGAGTGCCAGATTATGCTGCTTGACCTTGGACTTAAAGACTCAAGAATGTGGTGGGCATCAGTTTGTGAATGACTATAGCGGTCTGTTTTTTTCATCTGTATGCCCAATGTAATTTTTTTACCACAAAGATGTTAACAAGAAATTTCCTAGTATTTGTACAGCTAAGAAACAATGTAATGGTTTTCTGCCAACTCTGAAATATCTTCTGAAGATGTTGATATCTTGATGAAGCTTAGTAAGGAATTGCCTGACCAAGAAAAAAAAAATTACCTTTCAGAATATAAATCAAACTGTCTAGCTAGTGATCTCACTTAAAATAAGGTGGCTTATGTTAGGATACCAACTAAAACAGGAATCCTTGCTGTTATTTGTTAACTTAGGAAGGTTAAGTAACAATATAGCTTCTGCAATACTACACGATAACCCTAATTTAATCATAAAAAAATTAAAAATGGCCAAAGTTTCATAAGTTAGGCAAATGTATCAAGAATTCTGGGTCTTCACATGAGATCTTGCAAGACTTCAGACATTTTACTTTTTAACATTTTAAAAACTTTTATTTTTCATTTATTTATGTAGAAAATGTTCCACATGAAAAATATGCATGGGGGGGGAGTGTTGAGGGCTTTTAAAGTTTAAATTTCTTAATACCTACAACTTCATACAAGAGAAACCAAACTCAACAGTTCTTCAAGCTGCTAATATTGCCACCTGACTGTTAGTCTATTAATGCTTTATGAAAAGGAAAAATAAAAAATAAAAACATGAAATAGTTCTTAATGCTGGTGTTTATCCAGCTTTTTTTTTTAGGGTTTTTTTTTTCCTATTGCTTTTAGATTAGTCTCAGCCAGTAATAACAACCACAAAGTAATACTGGTCTGTGTATAAGAATAAAAACATGAGAAAGAGAGAGAAAGAGAGACAGAGATTTACATGCAAATATTGTTTTCACTTTCTCTCTGAATGTATATATTTGTGTGTGCGTGTTTTCATTGCATCCCAATTTTCTCTTTCTAGTTTTATTGTTTCTTCCTGATTGCTTTTCTAAAACAATGATAATTGTCCAAAGAGTCTTGTCAGCATGAGCTCAACTTATGATAGGACCATTCAGCAACCCCAGCTGAAGCCTTTTATGGCTATACTTTATCAGTAAGGCAATGCTGATACATCATATCAGACAATAGCAAAATAACATGGAACGTTTTCATTACAGCAAAATATATTGAGTTTCACTTTCAAAACAAAACATTAATCTCACTGGCATCTCCCATTACTGAATGAACAGGACATTAAGAAAACAAACTCCCAAACGTCATACATTGCTATTTTGCCCTTCATAGTCCAATGCCCCACATCTCTGTTTCAGGACATTTCCAAAAGGATAAAGATTTCCTTTTCCAGATTTTCTTGAAAACTTATTTCTTAAATTACAACAGTCGCCTAGTATTATATGAAGTCTTTATTACATCTGTATGTGAGACAGCGGAGAAATGGTGAAAACTTTCTGAGCCTGTGGCAACCTTTCCTGCGAAACATAGGATCCAGTGCATGTGGGAAGTCTGTCATATCAGAAGACCAAAATTCTATTATACATTGAAGTAGCTTCTATAATACTGCAAGTGTTCCAGAGAAGGTTCAAGATAAAATTACAAAGACAGCACCTTTGCAGAAAGACATCAGAGGACAAACTTGCCAAAAGAAACCTCTGTGTTTCATTTCCTGGTGGAGTGAGCTGTTCCTTTCCAAGGGGTTAGTCCATCAACTGCATGAGAGCAGCTGGTTGGAACTGGCTGTGACATAAGATCTCAGTTCACAAGGTGAAACATACAAATCTTTGAATGTGCCCTATGAAAGCATTCCTTTAAGCTTCCATGACTCTGCTTCTGTTTTCCAAGTCCATTAAGACAACTCTTCTACAACAACATCAAACCACAAGGGACATCCTTGTTGGGAATTCATTCTGAGAAAAACAGGAAAAGAGAGCAAAATTATAAAATATAAAAAGCAATCAATTCAGCAAAGGTGGGCTTAATGCATCAATGTTTCATGCCCCCCAAAAAACATAAAATATAAAGGGCCAAAAATTTCTGCCCTACTGTATCCCTAATCCATGACCCTGCAGCCCTCCAACTGAAAATAAGGGGGAAAAAAATAGCACTATTTGATTTCTCTTTTATATTCTTTCAGTATGTTCCTCTCTTTTAAAAATCTCCCATGTACACACTCATTTCATCAAAGAAATATGGCCATATAAGTAATGATTCATTATTTACTCATTGATAGGAGCCTTCAAAAAACATGTTTGTGGACAGTGTGTCCTCATTCTTTTCATCTGAGTGAACTCATGAGCATGAACTGCAGTTTTTACTCAATATAGGTAGTTCTTGTCTAGCGACCGCAATTGAAACCAGTGACTCAGTCATTAAGTGAAAATCACATGACTGCAACCATGCTTACAATATTACTTCAGCTTTCCTTTGCTTTACAGCATCAGAAGGATACAAACCATTATACAGCCCTTTTTTCCCCACTCCCCCCACCCTTTGGAATGGTCATCCTGGCACTGGGATAATTAGCAAGAAGAGAATTGACATTTGTATTTACTTTCATTGGAGAGGAAGGGATTACAAGAGAATAAGCAGGCACACAATGGGGAATACACATCAAAAGGAATGTGCTAGCACCGGCTGTTTGCCTAGTGCGCTCCCGGCTGTAAGCCAGGAGCCCTTAGGAGGCAAACAAAAGCCTTTAGTGTGAAACTGATTTGGGTCTTGTCAATTTCAGGCAGCAGCTATGAGATGCAGGGTTCTGTCAATTAAGGTCACAGAGCTGAACTTGTTAACTTGTGGTTAGCACTTTTTAGGGATGTGTATTAACTGACTGTAATGGTGAACACATGACTGAGAGAGAAACACTGTGAAAGTCATAAATGTGGGCACTGGTCACAAAGTTACTTTTTCATCACCATCGTAACTCTGAACAGTCGCTGTCCAAGGCAGTCTCTAAACAAGGACTACCTGTACACTCAGGGCAGACTTTCTCAGCTATGCACTGTCGTGATTTATTCTTCACAAGCTTGGTTCACCACAGAGTCTCAGTGGAAACTAGTAAAGCCTCACAAGTACAAAAGCCATCTGAGCAGACTCCAACACAGAATCCTTTTCCTTTTACTATCATTCTTGTACTATCAAAGCTACAATGCTCAATGGACATGTTCATTTGTAAATTCATGTTATTTTCAACTACTCAGAAATAAGTTATTACACCTCTTCTAAGAGTTGCCTAATATTAAATTCTGTAACTTATAGATATAAATTAGGAGACAATTATCTTTTTACTTATGATATTAAGATGACATTAAGGCAATTCCTACTGGATTCATGGCTTATCCTTCCACCCATGATATCCACAGTAATTCAGTTACAATTTACTGAATTCATATTTTGCTTCACTCATATGTTCCCTTAATCTACGATACTCAATTTTGCACTATCCTTTTCATCTGGTCACAATTTTTAAATACATTTTTGGGTTGTCAAATCAATGTTCCCTGCTGTAAAGGAAAAATAGTGATATTTTTTCCAGTTGTAACATTAACATTAAATCCAGAGTACACAATGTCTCTGAACTGCCCTGTCAAAGTGCGATAAACATTCTGCCTGTTCAGCCCTGGAGCAAGGGTATCACACATAGCCTCACTGTTTTGGGGGGATCTTTTTTCCTCTTCTTCTCTGATGAATTGAAGTTAGATTGTTCTCTGTTTTTGTATGAAGAACCCCGGCTCAACTCCCTCTCACTGTATGGTGGCAGAGTATCTTCTCCTTCCTCTTGCTGTGGAGGTTGCTGCTCCTGCTGCTGTTCTGCTTTGTAAGTTGATGGTGGTGACCAAGCATAGTAAGTTCCTCCCCTTTGGCTGGATTGTGAGCTGAACTTTGAAGGTGTCTCACTATGTTCACCACTCTCATCATAGCTTCGTGACTTCCTTTCGAGGGCACTAGTGAGGTAGGAGTGATCATACTTCTGGCTCCCTCCAGGTGTCCGACACACTAGCCTAGGCAAGTGTTTCTCTTCATGGGTACGTCTCCTGGGTGGGCTGTATCTCCAACTCCGATCTGCATCCGTTACTGGCTCACGGTTTCCTCCCCTGCGTTTGCTATAAAAATCATCTGAATTCTCCAGATGCTGTACTGGCCCTCCACGTGATCCTGATCTCTCAAAGTGCCGTGGCTCCTGACTCGCCTCAGTCCGATGGACCTGCTGACTGTAAGATTCAGCAAAGGCTGCTAGTTCATCCATGGAGACAGCTGGTACTCCCATAGAAAAACTCTTTCTTGAAAGCATTTCTGACTTTGATCTCTGCTGGCTGTATAAGACATAAGAGAGATGCTTTGAATTTTTGTTTTAATTTTTTATGTATTAATTATGTAACCAACTTGCCTGTTCATCCAATGTAAGTAATTTCCAGATAAACATTTGAAATATTACAGCAGCCCTATACTCCTACTGGCAACACCCAAGTTAGCAGTAGAAAATTGATTCTTAATACCAACTGCCCTAATTCTAGAATAGAGGAAAGTATATATCTTAACAGTCAAAACTTGTTATCCCTCTAGTTTTCTATTATCTATGCTAACTGAAAAAGTGACTCTCCACACGCTCCTTTCAATTGGATGTGCCAGGTATTGAATCTGGGACCTTTGTCAGGCAAATCATCTGTTTTGCCACTGAGCTATAACCAATAGAATTACGGTAAGGGTAATCCACATGCATGGTGTCAAGATGTACATTTTAACCTCAGTGCAAATAATGACTCAGCTGACATCTTACTGAACAATGTACTAAGAGAATAGTATCCCAAATGTGTTATTTCTTACATTTATATCACAACTTTCCTCTAAGGTGAGGTAGGGTGGGCTCACAGAGTGACTATTATCAAGCCAGGTATAGATTGGAAAATCCTGGTTTGGTGATAGTACATATAAATAAGGTCTTGAAATAGTCGTTGACTGCAAACTAAACAAGACAGCAGTATAATGTGGCTGGTAAGGAAAGAAAGGAAGGAAGAAATAGTAGTTGCACTTTATTTTGTGTCATTCACATCTCACTTCAAATATTGTGTCTGTTTTTGGGCATGATATTTTAAGTATTTAGAAGAAAGTGAACAAGTTCTGTACTACACTGCCTCTCTACAGTATATTACAGAGTGTATTACAGTCTTATAAATATGTATTATTTTAAAGAAACCCAAAATCTGATTTGTTGAATGTGATACAGTGCCTAATCTACATTATCCAGATGGTTGGCATACCAATATAGCTCCCTGAACAGGTTGGGCCTGGATGTTAGATGCCTTATGCTGTCTGACAAGGTCCAAAAGACAAAGTCCTCAGAATACATTCATCAGATAAGACACTGCTACTTTATAATGCTTCAACTGTACAAGAAAACTGCTAGTAAGTTAGCTTACTTATCATTATATTTATAACTTGCCTTTATTTTGTACAACTCAAGGTGGTGTACATAATGCTCCATCCCCATAACAGTCCTGTGAGGCTGTTGGGCTGAGAGAGAGTGACTGGCCCAAAGTCACCCAGCCAGCTTCCATGCCTAAGGGAGGACGAACATTCACAGTCTCCTAGTTTCTAGTCTAGCACTACTACGCCAAACTGGCTCTCCTTACAGTTATCATATTCAGTATAGTATATCAGATCTCCCTAATCCCTTACTCTCTTCCTTGCTATTCACCCATATAAATCAGGAAAGTAAAAATATTGAAAAGCAGCAGTCTTCTGTTTCCACATTCCCCCACTGAACTCACCTCATTCTGAAGCTGCCCCTGTCTTCCCTGTAATCAGAACGTGTTTGTGGCCTAGATGTACCACCTCCACTGACAACCCCTGTCCAGTACTCAGCATCACCATCCATGTCTCCTGAAGGAGGAAGTGCTTTCCTGCACACCTGACGGTAAGACTGGCGGAAGTTGGCACCCTCATCATGCAAAGAACTGAGCTCTGAGATGGTGTTACTATCTGGGATGAAAGATGCAGTTATTGGGAAAGTGTTAGAGAAGATAAAAATGGTTATTATAAAATTGAATTATTTGTGTATTCAGTTGGACAGGGATTAAACCATATACAAGATTTTATGAAAAAAATACTACATACTTTGTTTCTGGACTGACTGTATCTGCATTTTGTCTTCTTATGAAAGAAAGAGGGAATGATGGAAAATGTAAAAATGATAAGGCTTGCCCCTACAGGTAGTCCCCAGATTACAACAGCAATTGAGAATGGGATTTCCATCACTAAGCGGTGTGGTCGTAAAGTGCAACGTCTCATGACTGCATTGCTTAGTGACTAAAATCCTGGCAGTCCCGGTTGGACTGCACATAACCATGACATCGGAAGAGGCAGGAGTCCCAGGGAAGCAGGACGGCAAATGAGAACTATGGGCCAGGGGTGGGTGGGTCCATGAGCAGGTGCTAGGGAGCACGGGGCTTGCCACAGTGCAGGGCTTGAGGCACCACTCCTCAGCAGTGGCAGCCTTCAGCAGTCTCAGCCTGCCGCTACTACCCCCAGGTCTCTACTTCAGGCCCAGTGCTGGCCAAAACACCGCCTCAAGACCTGCGCCATGGCAAGCCACACCAGCCAGCCTCGAGCCCCAGCCCGCACCTCAAGCTGCAGCACTGGCCAGCCTCAAGTTGCAGCACTGGCCCAAGCCCAAGCAGCACCAGCTGGACTCAAGCTCCAGCACCACAGCAAACCCTGTGTCACTTCAAGTCATGCATTCCCTAATGTTCGCCCATGGCACCTGCTGCCCCATCCATAGCTCTCACCCGCTGGCCTGCTTGTCTGGAACTCCTGCCTCTTCCCAGGTGAAGAAAATAATGAAAGTCCGCTGGGGGGGTGGCAGTGGGACAGCGATGGGGGAAGTGGTCATAAATGCAGGCCAGCCCAAATTTTGATCACGTAACTGTGGAGCCACTCCAATCACTGGAACTATGAGGACAGGTCGTATGTCAATTTTTCCAGTGCCATTGTAATTTTGAATGGTCACTGAATGAATGGACATAATCTGTAAGACTACCTGTATTCTGTTGGCCTAAGCTAAGACCACTTTAGTAAATCCAAGTAATTAGAATACAGTAACTTTTATTAAAATGTGGCTCAGCTAAAAAAAGCAGTGCTGACATAATTTCTTGAGATGCTCATACCACCCCGAATATTGTCTCTTTGGACTAATCAGTTTCATTGTTTTACTCATGGTATAATAGACATTACAAGCAGTACAGTAGTTCTCAACCTGACTTATTTTAAGTCTCACCAATCATTCTGTCAAAAAATCTAGATGCTACCAAGATGGGAGGAAAAGCCAACCTTTTCAAAGAATTATATACATACATACAAATGTATGCTCTGCTATTATATTTATCAGCATTTATTATAAGTTTTAAGATGAAAATAATTGCATTAGTACTGTGACCATAAACTTTACTGCTATAACTCTAAAAAGAATAAGTGAAACCTAACTGGGGCTGAAGCAGTGTTTGCCATGGGGAACAGTCTTCACCTTTGCCAAATTAAGAAATATTCCAAATAATGAGACATGGCACAAAATATTTGTGTATTTGTTTAATAATAAGCCTATGCTTTCAGAAGCTGCCTCAAAGCCAGATGCCAGGAGGTGCTCTTCTGAGAGTTCAGTTTCCTTTGCCTGAGGCTTGCCATATTCAAGTGGAGACTGACTGCTTTGCCTTTCTTCTCTCCTATCCTCCCTTCTGTTATAAAAATATGTATAACACGGGTTCCACAGAACTGTACTACGTAATGGACTCTGTCTGACCAAGGGAAACTTGGAATTGTAATCATCATCAACCATCTCTCTTTTGGGGAATTTACAAGCATTCTGCAGCACAGAAACTCATTCTTGCAAGGAACAGGATTGACACCCATTGGCTTTTTGTTTGTAATATGCTGCCTGGTTTACTCTACTCATGAGTCCCACTGGAGAGAGAATTCTGCCACTCAGTCCTTGCTACTGATGGTGCTAGAAAAGCCCGAGGCAGTTGACTTAACATTTTTCCATCTGACTGAGACCAGAATGATAAAGGATTCATTTCTTTGAGGCAATGAGGATGCTGCCAGTATGCTTGCTTCCAAAAGAAGCAAATAAGATAGCCCCGTTAGGAATCCCTCAGGGAAACCGGGCAGCTGAAAGGCCAAGGTCTGCTGCTTGTGTATATGTGTATGCTTTGTGGTTCTTGTTGGCCTGCTGTTTATCATAGCAGTGTATTATTGCTAAGTATATGTCTATGGATGTTAGTGCTGGTATATGCTGCAGGATGGGTAGATAAAAGAGTGAGTTGCCACTATTGAAGAGATTTCAGGCAGTGGAAGATATATCACTGGGAGCACAATTAGTCAAATAAAGAAAAAAACAGGCTAAATGTTTGAAAGCTGTCCCGTTTTCTGATTTCTCTTCCATTTTCAAATCAAGAGTTCCAGACCAGTCTATCTTCTGTTATTTTGGTGCTGCTTTTAGAAGCCAGGTCAGTTTGTTAATAAAACACTTTCCATCCATGATTTCAGTGCAGATGAGAGGGCTGACTTGGCATATATTATCAAGACTTAGGTGGACAGGGTTGATAGAATTTATTTTCATCAGCTCTGCCCATTTGGGTAATTAACATCGGACCAACCTAATTTGGAGGGCCAAGGAGGGAATGTTGATGATTTTATAGAGATTTCATCATTCATCAGTTTTGTGGGCATGTATTTGGTATTTGTGCTGTTCAGCAGAACTTTTTCAGATAGTGAAAAGACTCTTCAACAGCAACCCAGTAATGACAGCTCCTGAAACCTTAGCTTGTCCACTGTGATGAATTTGCTAAGCATTTTGAGGAGGAAGTAGTTTGCATCTGCTATAGCAGAATCTGGAGAGACATGCGGATCATCAACAAATCATGTTTTGGGGACTAGTTTCAGTTTCTGAGAGGTGAGGATACCAATATGTTCAACCTATTACCTGTAGATTTGATCTTTGCCCATCTTGTCTATTAAAACTAGCAGAGAGGAACAGATGGTATTGATCCAGGGAGAAGTAAATGACTTAGAGTGTTTCTCCTGCTCTTAAAGAAGTATTTTAGAAGGGTTTAATCCCTTCTAAAGAGCACATCTTAGACCTAGGAGATACTTGAGAACTATTGCCCTATTGCAGACATCCTTGCTTGAGCAAGATGCTTGAGAGGGTGGTAGCCAGTTTATTTATGGGTTATTGGAGAATATGGATGAACTAGACCTATTCCTGTCTGCTTTCAGGCCTGGTTTGGCACTGAAGTTACCTTGGTTCCTTTGCTAGATGGCCCATTCTAGGGGAAAGACAGGAGGAGTGCAACTTTCTATTCTCTCCTGGACTTTAAGCAAGGTATCCTGCTATCTGCAGCTGAAGTAGGAGCCACTATTTTTCAGTGGTTCTGTGCCTACTCCAGACAAGATTCCAGAGAGGGGCTGTAGAGTTCTTCTGCTAGGCCTCATGGCTCTAAGCTCTGGCATCTTACAAGGATCCATTCTATCACTCGTTTAAAATCTATATTAATTCACTGGTGCAATCACCAGTGGATTTGGGGTTGGGTGTCACTTGTATGCTGATGATGTCCAGCTCTAAGTGATGCAGGTTTTTTGTGGATGACTTTTGCCTGGAGTTGGGTCAATAAGCAGAAGCTGAATCCAACAAGATAGAAACACTGTGGATTGGTGGTTCATTACTCTAGGAACTGGAAAAATCTTTAATTCTGGGTGAGGTTACTGTATATTCCCTCTGAAGGAGGTGGTACATAGTCTTGGGGTATTAGATTTACTTCTGTCACTTGAAGGTTGGCAGCTGCAACCCTTCCTGATCAGGGACGGTCCATGCCCTGGTAACATATATTTGAATTACTGCAATGAATCTGTGTAGATCTGTTCTTGAAGAAGATACAAAAATTGCTGCTAGTATAGAATGCAGAAGTGATTATTGTATCGCTTATTTTATTTAGTTTTATTCCTTTATTTTGATTTTATGGCTTATAACTGCCACAAGATTCTATGAGTAGTGGGTAGGCTATAAGTATTTTAAAGACGTAAATGTCTGGCAAGACTAATTTTAAAGATAAGAACATTTTAAAAATTATTGCAATACTCATTGCAGATTAGAACTTCATAGGAAAAAAGTTCAGAAAAACATGCCACAGAGACTACATCTAAGACAGTGGTGCATTTATAGTGAAGTCTACTTATACAGTAGAACAGCATACAAAACCAATGTGACATTTACATTATAACATAAACATTTTCACATGCATTCTTTCCATGGTGTCAGAAATGTGGGATCTCAGTCACACTCTTTTTGGAGTGGAAGACAGATCAGCTCTATAGAATTAACTAAATGTAGCTTTTCATAGTGACTTGATCTTTCCCACCCATCACCCCCATTGCTTATCCCACTGCATGCAATGACATTTGGATCCTAGGCATTCCAATCTGGAGGAAACCTTTTTATAGTATTCTTAGTGGGTGGAAATGGCAGCATGTTCAGTGATGAGTGTTGTAGAACACCATGTAATTTGCTAGTTTTTCTCAGAGCTGTGATTAAAGTCATTCCTTCAGTCTGCCTATCAATCGATTGAGGCAGCCTGCATGTCTGAGACTGCTAGGACGTACTGGCTCTTATGAACTGAGTCTATTGAATGTGTATGCTAAAAATAGAGAGCAGCAATTATTTCTTTTTGTACATTAAAAAAATCTGTATTCATTGAATCTGAGAGGATTAGATGAGTCAGTGACTTGGGCTACTATTTTCTTTCACTTGAAATGATTGCTATGTACAGATAGATATGAAACATAGTGTCTGTGGGGAGCAATTTGTGGACACGCACTTGCCATATATTCTTTAGAAAAAAACACTCTAGTGAATTACTCAGTTGCTCATAGTGGGACTCATTGGACTGAAATGGTAATATAACTAGTCTATCTTTTCCTAAAGTACTTTTTAACACTTCTTTAAAATTCGGGTTTATAGAAAATTGGTGAGGAGTGGATTATATTATATATTATTATTTTGTGACATAAACAATATTTAAAGTACTTTAAAAAGGTAAGCCATATATTCATTAGTTAAGCAATAGAGGAAGTAGGCAGTTCTAACTCTTGATTCTTATTGAAGGACTTATTTAATATTGCATGCAGGGGGCTCATTCAATTGAATATTTTTGTACTGTATTGAAAAAGTCACATGAAAATTCCAGCCTCCTTTCAACTGCAAGATAGAAACTAGAAAGATTTTACAGTCCAATGTAATTTAAACTACATGATTAACAGATGTATCAAGCATCCAGAAAATTTCCCCTCAGGACTTTTGAAAATTAGGACACATTTTATTCAAGCAGTGTATATTGCTACAAACACCTGGAACCATCATTACCTAAAGGATAAGATACAATGGTGTAAATGGGAGGGGGAGGTCTGTGTTAAAATCCTATATTTTAAATTAAAGTAAGGTTGGCATTTGTTTGAAATAGTTGATAAAATTGTTTCTCACATCTCTCTCGCATCCTTCTGGCTGGGTCAAACTGAGCCAATTCTTTCTCAACATAGTATAGCACCTTCATAGAATCTCTGTCTTTGTCAGCTTGTATTCGGTAACCCTTGTGCACTGCAGAGAGAAGTAAATAATTAGTCAATGTGGTCTTTCTAAGAAACAAATCTCTAATATTCCATTAGGAGGTCATTGTCCTATGATGTATAACTTCCCTAGGAATTTTCAAGTATTTAGAAGTATCTTTTATTAAATAATAAACTTTCACTAGCTACTGATGGTTCCAGGTCCACTTCAAAGTGCTGGTTGTCATCTTTAAAGCCCTACTTGGCTCAGCATCTACCTGGCTCTGTTTATCATAGCCTTCTCTGAGTTTAATCTGCCCATTCACTAAGATCTGAGAGAGAAAGCTTGCTGGGAATCCCAGAATCAAGGGAATGTTATCTTCACTGACCCCAGAATTCAAGTCTTCTTCATGATGATCCTGCCCCTTTGGAAAAACAAACACTCCCAACCAGATATCTCTCCCCCGCCCCGCCACCCAAAATTCATTTTCAGACAGCCATAAAAACAGTTCTTCATTTGACATTTGGGGACAAGGTAATAGTAGTATAACTTTATTGATTAGTCAGTTGACTATATCAAAGGGGGCCGAGGAAATACTATGCTTTTCTAAATGGTAGTGCATCAAGCTGATTGAATTATGACTGATTCTGTTTTTAATTCCATTATACTAACACTACAGAAATGGACCGGCATACAGATATAACTTGGAAAAGAAAGAAAGAAAGAAAGAAAGAAAGAAAGAAAGAAAGAAAGAAAGAAAGAAAGAAAGAAAGAAAGAAAGAAAGAAAGAAAGAAAGAAAGAGGGAGGGAGGGAGGGAGGGAGGGGGGGAGAGAGAGAGAGAGAGAGAGAGAGATTACCACTTTGTCCTCCTGCGCCTGATTCACTTGGTGCCAAGGGAGGTAGATGTGACTTCTCCATAAGGACAGCGTGAGATGGAACTCCACTTCCCAAAACAGTAGGGATACAGTATGGTCCTGGGATTGATGTGACCGCTGGAGGATATCCAGCCTTTGCAGCTTTTCCTGCTTCATACACTGAAAAAAAGAGTAACAAGAAATACTTCAAAGATATCAGTCTGCAGCTGTCCTTCTGGTCCACTTAGCAGGCGACACTTAGCCAATCTTGGCTGAATGTGAAAAGCTAAGAAGAAATGGACCTGGTTAGTACTTGAATGGGAGACCATCAGGAAATTCCAGGATTGTAGGCTACACTGGAAGTGGAAATAGAAAACCTAGAAGGCAATGGCAAACTATTTCTGTATAGCTGCCAGGAAAATTTCATATTTCCATGAAATCACAAGCTGAGCTCAACTCAGAAGACTCAGAAGCAATCTCACTAGAAGGTATCTCAGAATACACTTGATTTACATATTACTTCCCTAGCAAAATCAGAACATGGTTTTTAAGCTGGTTATTTGTGTAAAATATTTAGAGGATTATTGCTAGGTTTTTATTAAAGAAATGAGTAACTGAAATTTAAAGCACTGAAAATACAGTCCAGGACCTAAATGGAATTTGAACAAATTTGGCCAGCAGCTGAGTAAACAGAGCCATTCGCTTGCTGAGCAAGGGGCTGAACTCATTGGCCTCATTGCTGTTTCCAACTCAGTGATTCCTCTCTTAATCTCACAGCAGCTCACCTTTACTACCATTGACAGCTTTAAATTAGCATAAAAGGACAACTTGTTGAACAGAGATGGTAACAAAGTAGGACTAATACAAAGCAGAAATATGCACTAAGAAGTCATATGAATGTTCTTTCTCACCATGTAGTCATCCTGATTCAGCAAGATGCCATTTTATACATCCAGCCACTAAGGATTTAGAGGCATACCTATTTTCTCTTGTGCAATCATCCAGTCCTCTTTTAACTAACTGAATTTGTATGTTTTGGTGCAAATGCATTTAAGTCTAATCTAGCTACTACTATTGATTGAAGCAGCTGAAATGTTATGAAAAACATTTAAACGAGCAAACATTACACAGCCGCTTAAAAAAATAACACTTTTAAAAGTTAACATTACAAGATCACACCCAATAGTGGCTTTGTGCTAGCTGCAAACATATCTGCTGACTGAAACTGGATAAACCTGGAAACTGTCCATGCCATTCCCCATATGAATTCCAAAGATCTCTCAACCCCTCAATATGAGCTTTTGGGAAAAACTGTAGAATTGTAGATAGGAAGACTGACAAAATCTGAATGTGCTAGCAAAAACCTCACAATTAGATACATCGTCCTACACTATCAGTACAAACAAATTGTAAACTGCCAAAAGACTTTCATATTCAGCTATACACCAGATTAAATTAAAAAAACAAACAAAACAGTAACTTGTTTATACAAAAGCCCAGAGGAAGTTATACCAACAGACATCTTTTAAAGCACGTCCTAAAGCAGTCTTTCTCAACCTCAGCAACTTTAAGATGTGTAGACTTATAACTTAAAGTTGCTGAGGTTGAGAAACAATGTTCTAAAGTGTCATAAAACCAAGTAGTCCAACTTTATTCAACATCCAGTAGTTATATAAAACTAGTTGAACAGTTTCACCTAGATTGGGAATATTTTGTTGCCATCCCATAGGTAACACCATCTATATGAAATTTAGTCCTCTGAAAAGCCAATTTATTTAAGTTTTAGCTTTGGCCTGATTTTTAAACTAAACACAGAAATATTCTTTATACAAAGAAATAAACCAGACAGACAGTATGTCTGGGTGAAAGATTTTTTTTTATACTTTGATTCACAATGTAAACAATCACTCACATGCCCGTGGGCAGCAGCAGGTATCTGGACAGCAAGGGCAACGAATGTAACAGCAGCAGTTATGAGGACAGCATTGGCACCAGCAGATCCCAACTAAGAGAAAGAAAAGGAAAGCCCCCACGATCACCAAGCCCACAAACATCCACTCTGTAAACGAAAAGAAGATACATCAATGAAAAGTTGGTGTCAACCAATAACTGATTAATGTATTAATCAATGACATATAAATAATGAACATATTATACCCACATATGCTAAAAACAAATGCTAATCCTTAGCTCATGCTGCTTATTTGATCAAACTGGTTTAAATTAAACTGAACCCATGAATCTCAGCCCTACAGCTATTTAGGAGAGAAGAAATAGTATTTGCTGAGAGGACCAGTAAGAGAAATACACTGTCTATAATCATGGAGAATGGCAGCATAATGACATGTGTGTATTGACAATGAAATGAAAAGCTCAGAATTCTCTTTTTACCCATTTCAAATGGCTATTTATTCTGCCAGTCAAAACTTGAATTTCAGTTAGCTGAATGAACAGCCAAAATAAAAACTGGGTGTGGGGTGGGGAGGGGTGGGGAGTTCCATCTAGAATATAACTGAAATAAAGGTATTATTTTGACCTATATTAAGCAATAAAAATCATTTTCAACTATGGTGATTTTGTGGCAGAAGGCATCTCTATAACCTAAAAAATGTTAAACTTGGAACAAGCAATTTTAATCCCATTAGTTATAATGCCACTATTTACATACAAGATACTTTGGAAAAAGCAAGCAAGACCCTAGGACAAAGTGTCAAGGAAGTGGAACAATAGAATGGGCTCCACTGGCTTTCCTTCCTCTTCCTCTGACTGCAAGCAGCATTTTTATCCTGCTGTACAGCATCTGGCAATTACCCCTTCTCCTTTCTTGTTTTTTCATCACAATACCAGTTTTAAAAGCAGCAACAAGTATTGAGTGTAGAGGGAAAGTTGCCCCTTGGAGAAGCTGGGGTGATAGCACATGGTGGCAAGGTGCCATGGCAACTTGACTACAGGAGAGGAAAATCCCTGGAGTTGTAAGGAAGCAGGAGTTCCTGCAAATGGGAAACCACCCTCCCTGTAGGTCCAGAAGAAATGCTGCAAAACTGTTTTAGTATCTATTCCCTTTGGACCAAGAGGAGAAACTGAGTTGATCATTAACTGGATCTGCTTCAAAAGCCCATGGAAGCCCCATAATGCCATGGAAACATAGGGGTGAGGCTAATATATTGGCACAATCGCACATGTGAAAGGGAACTTATAAACAAGGGGAAAATATGTGATTATTTCAAATGCACATATTTATTACCAAAATATACAAGAACTGAGTGAGGATTTAAAAGCAGGCAACAAATTTGTATACAGGCAGTCCTCAGGTTACGACAGCAATTGAGACTGGCATTTCCATCTCTAAGCAATGAAGTTGTAAAGTGTGATGTCATGTGACCACTTCGCTTAGCGACGGCAATTCCGGCAGTCCCTGTTGTCATCATTAAATGAGGTCTTCGTAGGTCATTAAGCAAGGACCTCACATGATCGTGACTTCCAAATTCCTGCTGGTTTCCCCATTGACTTTGCTTGTGGGAAGTTGGCAGGGAACATCAGAAATTGTGATCACATGACTGTGGCTCGCCGCAACATTGTAATTGCAAGCCAGGTGCCAAGTGCCTGGATCATGATCATGTAACCACGGGGACGCTGCAATGACAGGAACTATAAGAACTCATCATAAGTACCATCCCTTCAGCACTGTCATAATTTTGAACAGTTGCTGAATGAATGGTTGTAACTCAAGGACTACCTATACAATCAGTCCATGGAGGGGAAAGCAGCTCCTGTTCTGAAACCTAAATATAACAGATATTTTATTTATTTATTTATTTATTTATTTATTATTTATTTATTTATTTAAATTTTCAAATGTATATATATGCCACCCATCTCACTATACAAATTACTCTAGGCAGCATATATCATATTTGTATGGCCACCTATCTCGCAAAAGCGTGACTCTGAGTGGTGTACAACAATCAGTTAAAAAGAAAACCAATAAATGTATAAAACAATCATTATAAAATATATAAAAACTATAAAAAAGCACACAAGCAAGAGAGGACGAAGTTAGCTGCAGAAAGGGAGCCACTGCAAAATCTCCCTAGACCCCTGGGATCCCCAGCCCTGATGGCATAGCCAGGTCTTGAGGGATGTGCAGAATGTCAAAAGAGATAGAGCTAACTTCTCTTCTGGTGGGAGAAGATTCTACAAGGTGGATGCCATGGCAGAGAAGGCCCACCTCCTGGGAATCATCAAGTATAATTCCCTAACAGACAAGTCCCGCAGCATGACTGCCAGATCTGATGGGACAGGGAGACATAGTTGGGGAGAGGCAGTCCCTCAGATAACCCAGCCCCATGCCATGAAGGCTTTAAAGGTCAAAAACAGCACCCTGAATTGGACCCAGAAGCAAACCGGCAATCAATGCAGCTCACAAAGCAGAGCTGTAACGTGTGCCATTCTAGGGGCACAGTTTGTACCAGCTGGAGCTTCTGGATACTCTTCAGGGCAGCCCCATGTGGACCACCTTACAGAAGTCCAAACAGGAGGTGACTAGGGCATGAGTAACAGTGAGCAGAGCTCCCTGATCCAGGAAGGGGTGCAACTGGCGCACAACATGAAGCTGTGCAAAGGCTGTCCTAGCCACGACTGCTACTTGCTCTTTGAGCAGGAGTCGTGAGTCCAGGAGGACCCCCTAGATTGCCCACTGGGTCTATCTGGGGCAGTGCCATCCCATCCAGCAGCAAAGATGGCATAGTCCTAGACCTTGAAAGCCCCAAAACTCAAAGCCACTCAGTCATGCCAGGGTTCAGCTGGGGCCTTTTGTCCTCCATCCAGACCCTCACAACCTCCAGGCACCGGGATAAGATGTTCACAACATCACTTAATTTGCCAGGGGCAGAGATGTATAATTGGTATCAGTATCATACTGATGATACTTTACCCCATGGTGATGGATGAGCTCACCCAGCAGCCTCATGTAGATGTTAACTAGGAGAAAGGAGAGTACCGAACTCTATGGCACCCCACATAGTAGGGGCCGAGGGTAGGATCTCTCCTCCCCAACTACTACTGACTTGAACTGGCCCCAGAGGAAGGAGGTGAACCAGCACAGCACTGTGCTGCCCACCCCCAATCCCATGAGCCAGTCCAGAAGGATACCATGGTGGATGGTACTGAGAGCTGCAGAGAGGCCAAGTAGGGCAAGGATGGATGCACAACTCCCATCCCGCCCTTGCCAGAGATCATCCAAAAACATGACCAATGTTGTTTCCATCCCATACCCAGGCCTGAATCCCAACTGAAAGGGATCTAGATAATCTGCTTCCTCCAAGGTCCTCTGAAGCTGCTGTGCAACCACCTTTTCAATTATAATATCACTGGAATCCATGATGATATTATTAGGATATTTTGAAGGCTATGATAATATATTAAACAATTCCAGCTTATAATTTGGGAATCTGGCAAAAATTCTGCTGTATATAGATTAAATTAAAAATTAACATGAATACTAACTAGAACATAGAAAACTCAAGTTGTATTAACAGGAATAATACTAATGAATTTCAACAACTTTCGAAAAAGAAAATTATGCAAAGGTGTTATAGGAAGACAGCTCGTTTATCTGAATTCTTTCAGAATAATCAATATGAAACTCAGGGAAAAAAGAACATGGTTATACTTCAGCCATCATAATTTATTATTATTGTATGCCAGTTCCAAGTCTCAAGGTGGCACACAACATAATAAAAACTATGCAACTATAACATACAAGAATTCAAACACCATAAAGTTACCATATCATAAAAACTCACAATAAAATAATAAAATCTCAATCTCATTTTACATCAGTAACCATTCCCTGGCCAGCTGATCCCTTATTGTTTGGCACCTCATGCTGCAAAAGCTCAACAAATGAAATATGTCTTAATGGCCCTTTCTATAATTGAGCTATCCTCAATTTGGACAACAAGATAAAATGATGACTACATTGTATTTATGAAGAAACCCATACTGTTGAAAGAAGACTGTTAGATTTTTAATTACACTTGATTTTATCCAAAAGGCCAAGAAACAGTTTGATGATTCTTTATTAATGTATGTTTATACAGTGGTACCTCGGGTTACGAACACCTCTGCTAATGAACTTTTCGGGTTACAATCAGCTCCGGCCGCAAAAATTTACCTCGGTTTGCGAACTCTGCCTCGGGGTACGAACAGGATACGTGGCCATTTTCCCTCCCGTGACACGGTCCGCGGCCATTTTTCCGCCCCTGACACGTGGTCCGCGGCCATTTTTCCGCCCCTGACACGTGGTCCGCGGCC